GTAGAAGAAAGAATGAGAACTGGTAAACCATATCGTGAACAGGGAACAAGGGATGAACCTCTACTCCTGTTCAATAGATAGGGAAGGACTGCGGGATGGTTCTAATAGTCATTTTTCTAGCACTTCACGCCTGTGGAATACTCTCTTGGTTTATTGTTCCCCTGCCGCCTAAAAAATCTTCAAAAATTTAAATGTAATGTCAGTCACCATCTGTCTTCCTGAATCTTTTTTTTATTGAACTTTTTTCGTCATTAAAGTCACCACATTCTCTTTCGCTCTCACTGACCCTTTGCGTCTTAGTGGCATTATCGCTTTTTTGTGGGTGAAATAATTAAAAAAATATGATAGTGTAACGCCAAGCCAGCTTGTTGTTTCATAGGCAGTTTAATTAGAGATAAAAGGGGACAAATGAAATGCTCTCATGGTGGTGGTGGTGGTGGGGGGAACATTGTCGTAAAGTTCAAAATATATCAACCGGAAATGTGATCATTGCTGTGAAACATTTCTTTATATGCGATATAATTTCAAACAAGAAATTACGACGAAACAAAACCAAACGAGAAAAGCATAGAAGTCACATTATAAAAGTTTCATTTGACGCATAGTATCAAATTTAGAGATAAAGTTTCCGCCCGAGAAACCTTTATGCTCTCATTTGGATCTGTGAATGGCTTCTTTGTGATCTTAAATTAATTGAAGTTTATTTGTTCTTAGAAAAAAAAAAACAATGAATACACAGTTTTATATATATATATATATATATATATATATATATATATATATAACTGTGTATTCATTGTAGATAGATAGATAGATAGAATTCCCTGAAGAAGTAATGGCTGTTTTATTTATTCATTCAACAGATTTATGTCACTTCAAACGTTATTTTTTTTTCATATTTCAGAAAATGCTCCGTTTATTTATTAAATACAGTGTAACCCGGATATAAGAGAGTTGTCGGGACCGAAGAAGAAGTCTCTTATATCCGGGTTTCTCTTATATCCGGGTTTGGTCTATTTTATTTACACAGGCTGTAATTTGGGACCAGAGAAAATCTCTCTTATATCCGGGTTTCTCTTATATCCGGGTTACACTTGTGCACTTATTTATTTTCGTCTACCGGCCTGAATATTCGAGAAATCTTTTTAAAGAAAAATATGCGCTCCCGGGCAAGATTCGAACTGTCGTTAGATCTGCCGCCCCTTAGCCGACTCTGCTAGGAAGAAGCTTTTATGTCGATATTTTGGCACTAATCCGTTCCTCTGATTCAATAGTTTGCTTTGATTATTGTATTTTATTATTCTGTTTTTACCTTCTAAACGTAAGTCACACCTATTAGGAACACACACACGCGCACACACACACACACACACACACACATATATATATATATATATATATATATATATAAGTTTATTTAGGCAGTGATCTTATATTTATACAAGTTTGGTTACAGACCAGCAACATTTTTAGGGATTTATTTATATTTTCTATATTACGGATTAATTTCTTGGTTTCCGCAACATATTTTTAGGTTTACATTGAACAACGCCTGCGTACTTTCGATACTCGTTTGTCATTATCAACGACTTTGATTTTATTTATTATCTTTGCTTTTGTTAGTTGCTTCTTTTTCGCATATCGTGTTTCCGAGATTTGATATAATTTTATTTATTTACCACACACACGCACAAACAAACGCACACACAGACACATATGCAGACAAATATAGTGGTTTACTCAGCATAGAATATATGTGTACCGTTTCGAATGTATGGCACACTCACTGAGGATCGAATTCACTTCTCAGACGCAGATAAGCTCGTGATACACAAACACACACACGCACGCGCGCACACACGCACGCAAACATAATACTACTACTAATAATATTGAGTGTATTGGGTCAGCAGATCATTATCTAAACATATATTATTAAATATAACAGTCAATGAAAGTCTATTATATCTGATCATAAGCCGTTCTAATCTTTTAAATTCGGGTGAAAATGTAGACAAAAATTGTCCAATATATGGATATTTATTTTTTATTAAGTTGGTCCTTGATCTAAGTTTTCGGCTCACGTAAGCCATCTTCAGAATCGTTATACAGACATTTAAACAAAGACATTCACCATCGAAGACAATATTCTGTTATGTTGACATAGAAGATTACTATGCGATGATAACGGCCGCGAAATAGCAGACGCAGTTCGTAAGTTCAAGATGTGGTTCTATGACATCATACCACGATGGTGAATATCTTTTATAAATCTCCATATAACCATTCTGAAGATGGCTCATGTGAGCCGAAAGCTTAGATCAATGAACAGCTTAATAAAAAATATCCAAATGTTGGACAATTTTTGTCATTTTTTCACCCGAAATTAAAGCAAACAGACGAAGATTAGAACAGCTCATGATCAGGCATAATATACTTTCATTGTCTGTTATATTTAAGGAAGAAAGGTGTACGCGGGTTCGAATCCTGCTGATGGTCACTTTATTTTTTTTTTTTATTAAGTTGTCTTGAGTACGCAGGCCGGTAGAAATAAACACTGTTTAAAATAAAGCGGGACGTCTACTCAAATACGGGTAAATATGACGGATTAAAATAATAAAATTACTTTCTTCTCTATATATTTATATAGTTGAACGCAATCTTCATAGGCCTGAAAGATGTGCTCAGATATGGAACAGAGTGCCGCTTCTCAGCGTTAACCCCAGAATGCAATTTTATACAGTGTAACCCGGATATAAGAGAGTTGTCGGAACCGGAGAAGTCTCTTATATCCGGGTTTCTCTTATTTCCGGGTTTGGTCTATTTTGTTTAGGTAAGTATGAGCTCTAATTTGGGACCGGAGAAAATCTCTCTTATATCCGGGTCTCTTATATCCGGGTTACACTGTATATACATATGAAAGATAACGATTTTAAGGCGAGCTAACTTTGTAATAAAAGAACTTAATATTTAGCGACTAAGGGTCCATATCTGCAAAATCCCCAGTAGTCACAGTTACAGCGAACATCTAAATTTGTTGCTTCGTATATTCAAATTTAACTCTTGATATTCTCTCAGAGTTACTATATATATATCTCTTACATATTCACTACGAAATCCGTTCACAAGATTTTATCTGCATATATGTGCCTGCATGGATATACATATGATCAGATTTGCTATATGAAGGCATATCAACTTCTTTTTGGGTCATTTGTTGCTGAAATTTAATTTTCTTGGGAGCTTTGAAGAAATAGATGTTATTCTGCTTTCACAGTTGAATACATGGTAGATGATACTCAGCGTTTGTGCATATACATGTGTGTGTGCAGACATAATTACTAGAGGCGGTGATATATGTGTGTTTTATGATATATGTTATTCTGCTTTCACAGTTGAATACATGGTAGATGATACTCAGCTTTTGTACATATATATGTGCGGACAAGATTACTAGAGGCTGGGATATGTGTGTTTATGTTGTAGTTTTGTTGAAGTTATATTTTGGAATACTGTTTGATTGTAAAATATTATATGGATTAATGTCTTGAAAGAGTTTGTTCATGTTTGTTCTTTAGTTGGTTGATTTTGTTTAGTTGCATGTCAAACTCTCGGGGTTATTTAATGCTGAAATCTAAATATTTTGAACACAATTTTATGCCTTCATTTTGAATGCAATTGCATGCCTTCAACTACAAATAAGGTGTATGAAATTTTTTTCTCGGAATTTTATAAAATTAAATAAGGTGGGGTAACAGATATAAAAAAAAAATATAATTTTTTTTACCAAAATTTTCTAAAAAAGAAAATTTTTAAATAATTATTTCATTTATTTGTGTATAATTCCTGAGAGTTTTATTAAAATCCGTCAATTATTTGATTTTTGCAAGAATTTCCAAATCAATATGTTTTTCACCGTAGAAAACACGCTAAAAGTTTCTAAACTAATCTCCCCACGCTCTTGACGCCAAAAAAAAAATTTTTAACCAGAATTTCCAACATTTTAAAAATGATAAAAAAAATATAATTTAATAATGAAAAAATCATTTGGACTTTCCTGTTAATAATAACATAAAGATTTTGATAATAAAACTAAATTTTTATTAATTTGGGGGCATTTTTTCATCATGTTATGCTAATTTTTTAGCGAATAAAATTTCGATATGTGTATTTTATGTTGTATTTTTATGGACGTTATATATTGGAATATAGTTTGATTTCTTGAAGAAATTGTAGGATATTATATGGCTTAATGTGATGAAAGAGTTTGTTCATGTTGGTTGTTTAGATGCTTGATTTTGTTTAGCGACATACCAAACTCTATGGGATTTAACGCAGACAATTGTTTGAAATTCCACTATAAATATGTATTGTTTGTATCTTTTTAATATAAAAATATATTGCTGGTATTTTTAATATAAAAATATATTGCTGGTATTTTTAATATAAAAATATATTGCTGGTATTTTTAATATAAAAATATATTGCTGGTATTTTTAATATAAAAATATATTGCTGGTATTTTTAATATAAAAATATATTTTTATACTTTCATAGAATTTTGTTTTTGTTTGGGGGTTCACAATTTGCCCATAGCTAGGACCCTAACAGGATGGACCTGGGAACAACAGTAATTAAAAGGTGGTTCGACGCCCCTGAAAATCTCGCGATCAGAGGCATTGTTGCCGGATCTTGTTTATCGTCATACTAAAAACTTCCTATACATACGTATATAAATTGATTGATTAGGGTTTTTTTACGGCTTATCAATCTTATATAGGTTATTTAAATGTAGCAAATACTTTTTTTAAAAATTGTGAGAATTGATACTAATTACTTAATGATATACGTCGTACTAATTAACCCATAGCTGGAGGGGTGGGGAGAAGATGTCGAGTCATACCTTTTCCAAGCGTATTTGCGAGGTTAGTGAATATAATGAAACTGAAAGGAAATCGAACGCGGTCCCATTATCTATGACACTATCCTACGAATCCAAGCTTACAGCGCCTGCTCTTCCCAAATGGTCACCCTTCTAAGTAATGACCAGGCGCGACCGTTGCTTAACTTCGGAGATCGTATGAGTGTTGTTTCAACACACACACACACACATATATATAATATGATAAAATTAATTGGTAATCCGTATGGATAATTCCATGGAGGATATAAATCCCGAGAGCTCAATCTAATAAACAGAGCAAATAATAATTAATTAACAAATTGGAGACTTCAGAAATCCATGGTAATATTTTATTTTGCGAGACAGATAAAATTCGGTTTCGCTTCGTCAGACCTGGCGGTTTCAATAATGGAACCTTAAAGTGGTCTGTTTTTTCTTTCAATTAAATTATTCGCTCTGACTTAACATTGAGCTCTCTGGATTTCATCCTCCTTGGGATTATCCATACGGATTACCAAGATTTATATATATATATATATATATATATATATATATATATAAGTGCGTAGGTATGCAGAAAATAGAAAAGAACACGTTGGGTGCATAATCCGGGGTTCCTTAGTATTTTTGTTTTTATTTTTAAGAAGACAGTGCTCCATACAGAAATGCATGTATGTATTGTAGGATATTAAATAACAGAGCTATGTAATATACTAAGAAATAGACATATTATAAGGTATGAAATTCCGAGTTGTGCAATCAATATAAGGTATTATGTATATTTCTTAATTATATATATTATATATATATGTGTGTGTGTGTGTGTGTGAACTCTCCTGTCGCATTCGATGGATGAAAGTCAAGCAGCTCAGTTCTTAGGAACTGACAGTCAGACACCTACCTGCACAGATGATTTGATTATAATGGTGAAGGCTTTGTGCAGAACCAACCATACTTTTTGAAGGGCTGAATACAGAGACCTGGTGCACCACAACGTCCCGAAAGGGTTTTCCTTCTCCTAGACGAGTTGCCATCCATAGAACCAACTCTGTCCTATTTAACCCACTTCTTTTCCCTCCAGCTATAGGTAAATAGGAGAAGAGGATTAATACCTTTCCCAAGGGTATAGGATATAAGTGAATGTAATGGATTCGATTGGAATTGAACTTGGCTCTCCTACTTCCCATGCCTATATATATATATATATATATATATATATATATATATATATATATATATATATAGAAGAAATATTTTAAAGGTGTGCTTTATTTATTGGATAAAGTGCTGAATATCAGAAATAGAGCGTATGTAAATATAAAAGTGAACATTGAAGTCAACACTCAGAGGCGGCAGCCTATTTCATGCTAGAAACAGCCTGTCGCCTCTGAGTGTTGATTTCAATATTCATATATATATATATATATATATATATATATATATATATATGTATATATTCGAACGCTAGCTCGTACATTTACCTATATTTATCCATTTGCTTATATTATATAGCTCGAACATTTACCTATATTTATCCATTTATTTATATTATATATATATATATATATATATATATATTCGAACGCTAGCTCGTACATTTACCTATATTTATCCATTTGCTTATATATATATATATATATATATTATCGCACACACGAGTTCACATCACTCATTCTATCTTTTATCTCTTTATCTCTATGTGTGAACAGGCACACACACACGTGTGCGAACACACACATATACACATACACACACACATACACATATATATGTCCCGAATTCTAAATTCTATATCCATCTGTTTACCGTATGTGAATCATCGCAGAACCAGAGACGCGGCCCTGACATATGAGATTACAGTGGTCGCAGGCAGAGGTCACCCGGACGATAAACAATCCTTTACCCTCAGAAGAAACTGTAGTAGCAGCATTTCTCGTTTTAGCTCTTGTCGTGGAGGGGGGGGGGATATAGTAGAGGAAAGTATGAAACGAAACATGGTTTCCGAATCCATGAGGTTTGCTTAGCTGTGTCGAGTAGTGTGTTTGTGTGTGTGTTTGTGTGTGTGTGTGTGTCCAAATGATGTGGAATTTGGGTGGACTGTCGACGCGGAATTTAACCCCCTTTTATGTCCGTGTGGTACGTACGTGGGAGTGTACTCATTCAAATCTAAGCGGACGCCTAAGTATAATCTATGTCTCGCTTGGTACAGGGCCATCATAAACGAGCCCTCATTACGACTTCAGCACTCCAGAAATGACGTGAAGTATGGCGTTTTTAAATATGAAAAAAATACAAGACATAGCAAATATCTTTTTCTATGTTCCGTTTCCCTTCAAGACATTGGCGATCACGTCTCTCCAAAATTTCCTATCCTTTATAGATCTCAATAAGTGTTTACCATGTCTTCCAAATCCTACTCTGTCATCCATTCTCTCAAGCTCATCAGGTAGATTGTGCCGTTACTTTCCTCTGGACCACTTACCTTCAATCTGTCCCGCGAGTATCATAATTTCCGAGCCCTCTTTCCTGATCATGTACCCTATAAATTTTTACTGTTTCGTTCTGATGTTACGTATAAGTAACCTTTTCGTTATCATTGCCCCTAGAACTTTGTCGTTGCTCAGATGTTCGGTCAATATAAAAGACAATAGGTTTTTGAGAAATTTTTGAAACACCTTTCCCCCCCCCCGTATATGGGTTAAATTAGTAAGACTTGTATCACTAAATCATTATTAGCTCCCCCCACCACCACCAAAAAACATCTTAGAATCTAAAAAAATGTTTCCTGGCTTTAAATAAAGCTGTAGCAAACGAATCAATCATTTATGATACATCTTAATATACAATAACATTAAATAATAAAGTGGAGTCATAGTAATTAGATGCGTACATGAAATAGGTTTTAGAGTAATGATCTATAAGAAACGAAAATACTTTTGATACAACCTAATATTTAATAATAATAATAATAATAATAACAACTTAAAATTGTAAAAGTCTTCGAAAACGCAAATGCATTGTCAATCTCGTCTTCTTCGTCACAGATCTTTTATTCTCCTCTCTCCTTGATAATCTTTTTTTCCTTTTTTTTGTATACATTCACATTCGCTAACCTCTGCGTCTTAGTGGCTTTATTGCCTTGATTGGACGGAAATGATTAAAAGAAAAAGTTGTAGTCATTAGATGCTTACATGAAATAGGCTTTAGTGTAAATGCTTATAAAAAACGAAAATACTATTGATACATCTTAATTTATAATAATAATAATAATAATAATAATAATAATAATAATAATGTGAAGCCATAGATAGTGTTTAGATACAAACAGGAAATAAACTTTGGAGTATAGGTTTATAACAAAAACAAAACAAAAAATCGGACCCCGCCATTATGAATGGACGCTTGATAAACAGGTGTATCTTCAATAAACTTTTCCAGTTTCGCTCAAAATTCCAACACAGATGTTTTATTCATAATGACGCCAACTGTACTCAACTTTGAGACCTTCGAGTCATTACAGATGGTTTTGTTTCAGTTTTCTCTGACCTGTGCCGTTCGGGGTCTGCGTTCGGCCTTTGCATAATGATAGTTGCTTGCTTTACAGATCTTTTCAATTGATTATTATTTCTTCAAATAATATCCAATTTTCCGCGAGACCTCGGCGTAGCTACTGCGGAGCCCTTGCTTTCAGAAAAACATTACTAATCAGCGAGATGAGTTCGAGCAAGCCAGCCGAGAAGGGCGTGTTGTACTGTACCTGGCCGGCGAGTCAAGTCTTGAGGTCACTATTAGAGAAAATATTTGCATTTTACATCGTATATTATTACTCTTCGCTTGTTTCGGGCCTTGTTTAATGAAGAGCCGCTTCTGTTTGTACAGAGGGAGACGATTGGATTATAACTTCCTTTATGGCCGACAACTGGGTCGTTGAGTGGGGGGTAGAAAAAGCGTGTATGCGGTTGAGACCTGTTTAGGAAGCACTGAATCGTGGATTAAAGGCACGTGCCGGGGTGGGTGCTCAGGCCCAGGTCAACTAGGGTTGAGGACTTAAAAGGAATCAGAAAAAGACATTTCGACATGTGTTTTTTTCTTGGCTATAACAAAAAAAAAAAAAGAAAAAAGAAAAAAGGGTACACGTAACACAGGAAATAACACAATGTATTCTCCAACCATTGGATTTCAGTTGAAATCTTTTTATCGCTTGTTTATGAGCTGAAATAGGCAGGAAACATAGCTTTATATATATATATATATATATATATATATATATATATATATATATATATATATATATATATATATATATATAGTTATGTTTCCTGCCTCAATATATATATATATATATATATATATATATATATATATATAAATAAATAATGATTTAAAGATATGGTTTCATCGCTACAGGAATTACCATGTTTTTCAAAAACAGAAACTAAAACCTTCCAATTAAACTATATAATTAAATCAAAAGCATCAGTTCTTTTTCATTTTCCAAAATTCGCTTCAAAATGAAACAGAACTAATGCTTTTGATTTAATTATATAATAGAATTTGAAGTTTTTAGTTTCTGTTTTTGAAACATGCCAATTCCTGTGTAGCGGTGAAATCATATTTTTAAATAAGTTAATTTATAATATTTATGCTCTGTAGATTTACTTTGAGCATTGTTTCGTAAAAATAAAAAATATCAATAAGAACACCGGATTGTATATCTTACTGTTCTTTCTTTTTTTTACTATAATATATATATATATATATATATATATATATATATATATATATATACAGGTAAGATGAGAGCAAATAGAGTATAATCTGCCTGTAACATTTAATTTAAAAGAGGGCTCAATACAGAGTAGAGCTGAATATTATTTATTATTGGAGATTAGAACAAAAACATGTTAAAAATCGCTACACAATAACAATCATGCTTCAACAATACAAATGCGTCTCCTTGGGCGATGCTAAATTACTGGCGAGTGAACGATTGATTTAATTTCAAAGGCAGAATACTTCCTCTTTTTTCGAAAAAAAAAAAACAGAATTAAAAGGAGGCTTGTGGTTTTTACGGTGATTAACCAATCAAATTCCACCAAAGCTAAATTTAAAGTAACCAAAAAAAAAGAAAAAATTATATAGGTCATGACATGAAGTTGTCTGCATATAAATCCTTTCGATA